AAATGCTTTGTCAGTTGTCATTCAAACTTGGTACATAGATTATACATGTTCGGATACATGTCCATGACGATTTATTTCGCAATTGGATCAAAGATGGTCGACTGGCAGGCATCTTGTTTTTGTTTTTTTATGCGGTATCTTGGACGTGCTCTGTCAGTTTTCATTCAAATTTGGCACATACATGTACTTTATACATGTTAGGATGCATGTCCATGACAATTTGTTTCAAAATCTGGTCAAGGATGGCCGATTGACAGCCATCTGACTTTTTGGCCTTGCTACTATATTTCCACAATTTATGTACCATACATATCAGTGTGTTTCATAATCAGATCAAAGATGGCTGAATAACGGCTGTTTTTATTTTGGCTATATTACTATAACACGAAACAAGTGTTTTGATGTAAATAAACAATCTGTTGTATACGCCACTTGGAACTCAAGTTTCAAGGACACGCTTGTGACAACCCCTCCACTTTAATATGACGAGCACAAAGAAAACTTAATGGGGACTGTGTCATTTTCAATGACTTGTTTTATATATTTTGTGTCTATTATTTTGTAAAAATGTCTCAAACTATTTTTATTAAACTCGGTACAAAGACAGTTCATGAAGTCCATCAAATATGGTAGCCAAGTTGTTGGTATAAATCGGTATATTTTGATTTGCTTTCTGATCAATCTTGCTATGATACTACCTAATGTGTATTTGGTTGCACAATCCACTTAAATTATGTCAGACTTGTGTTTTCTTCCATCTTTGTATTGAATTTTCTGGCCTTCAGTTATCATTTTGTTCAAAGTCACTTCATGCACATCATCCCACATTACATATACAAATTTCCCAAATAGTGACTTGATTTTCCATTAGGGGAACATTTCCGCAACCACATATCATGCAGGTAACGGGGCAGCTGTTAATAAAATGCTGTATGGTGGCATTTCTGTTTCCAATATTGCTGCTGTTTTGTGGCCATTTCTGCAGAGATTTTGCCCTCAATCTCACATTTGTTTTTTGCCTGTGTCTAGGTAGGGTTTCCTCTCTAGATGGTGGACATGTTTGTTTATTTTGTAGTACCATGTACCAATGTGTCGTTTAGTTTGTTTGACTACCCGTGTCAGACGAGATTGCTTTTGTATATATGTACCAGATATCTACACAAGTTGTAGAGCTATATATCATCTTGCACCTGGCTGTTATTTATAATATAATATTTAAACTTCTTTTTTTTTTTTAATCATGTTTATATTTTTTTAAATTATTATTCACATCAGCCAATGCATGTAAGGCAGATACTGTAAACTTTTATTTTCACCTTATGGTATTTTTGCGAATTCATGATTTTATGCCTTTTACAAAGACAAAATTTCTTTGTTTCATAAGGCCACACAGATTTAATTTTATGGATGACATCCTCTGGAGACCCCAAAACTAATGCGAGAGGGCGAAGACAAAAAAATCCTGCTAAAACCACAGGACTACGGAGCTGGGATTACGAATTGAACCACAGAACACAGTGTATCAAAAACAAACAAACAAGAAGTCTTTATTTGTAGGAGGCACATGTTGATGTACACATCTCGTTCTGTATTACTGTCACAGGTATCATCATCTTTGATTTTGAAAAGGCAAGAGAATAAGGCAGACGTTAGCTCAATAATACCGTAAAGAAAAACTTACTGTGTTGTATTGAAACAAAAAATTGAATTAAAAATGAACAATAAGTTTGTCAACAGCAACCTGGAAATTAACTTCTTTGACATTCAAACTACAGCTTTTAAAGTGATACTTCAACTATGTAACAAATTATAAGCGGCTCAATATTGAAAAAAAAACCACCAACAGAGAGTCAACAAAAATTTGGATGCAGAAAATTATGTACATGTATATTGCTGACTGTGTGTGCAAGCAAATTAAATGAAAATGAAAAAAAAATAATAAGAAACGCGGGACAGCCACTCTGTACAATATGTCCTTAAATGTTGTCTGGGCGAAACTCGCTTGCTGCTACCAATCTCTCGTATAGCTGTGTTAACGTTACATCTCCCTGGCCGACGTCAATTGCGTACTAGTCTACAACAATTTTTTCTGAGCTTTTATGCTCACGTGTTTTGGTGGCGTGGTCGCCATGGTGGAATTCCCGGCAATGCAATACGCATGTGCAGAAGATCATTTACGACAAAATTGGCACGTTTGAGGTAGTCCAAAACGAATTTTACGACAAGCCAGCGCTTTGCGACAATATGAGTCAGCAAGTTTCGGACAGAAAACCGTTCTGTGGCGACTCGTCGTCTGAGATTTTTTTTTTTTTTTTTTTGAGAACAGGCGAAAACTAATGCGCGCGCGGATGTCATCCATAAAATTAAGTCGGTGTGGCCTAACCAAGGGAAGTTTTCAATGCTATAAAATTTTATGATTTTCACTGATTCTTGAAGTTCGCAAAAATTTGTCTTTTAAATTAAAATAGTTGACAGTAAATAGCATTTTGTGGATTTGTTGTACAGAATGAAAGATGAGTGCGCCCTCAACATATGAATACATTTTATGAGTTACTTTTGTTTTTATTATTACCAGAACAATGGGCCTCAACCAGACAGTATATATTACCAAGTATTTAAGGACTGCGTGCAGAAAGCAGATGATTATTTCAGGAAGAGAGGTAAATTGTGTGGTTTACATTAATTAACAGGGGTTAATCTGGCTGTCCCACACAAGCACTTTTGTCTGGGGCAACCTAAAGTGAAAAGCATGAAATAATATAGAAATCCTGCTATTACATAGTTTTGTGTTGTACCTGGTACCTACATTTTTTTTCTGTTTTTAAAATATTTTGAAGAAGTTGTTTGAAAAGCATGGTCTAAGCATGATTTTGACTGTAGTTAAAGTCTTGTATATTGTAGATTTTACAGGTCATCTGTGGTTGACCTGTAGTCACACTGTTTTTTTGACCTATGGCGTTTCTGTTTTTCTGTGATAACACTCGCGCATAAAATGCATTGTGAATCGGTTTTGAGATGTATTTTGGCAGACAAATCAAAAAAGTTAATATTTTTTTTTATATTGTTTGAATTTTCATTAAAAAATTGTTCACATGTGGATAAATATGAAATGCAGATATTGAGAAAAGTTTTGGTATAAAATGTCATACAAGGTTATCATCTGATATCACCTATTCGTAGATCTAGTTTATGCGAGTGGTGTCATGGGCTGTATTATCTATGAACTGTAAGTGAGTTGATACAAAACTTACAATTTTGACAAGAAGGAATAAAAGTACCTGTATTGATATTATTCTTATTCATTCAGGTCTTGGTAGCGCTATTAGTGTCAAGGAATTCTTTATGGAAGGTAGGTTGTGAGGTTCATATTAAAATCAATTTAAATGATCATTCCCAAGTATAAATATAAATAGACTTGTAATCTATTGATTAATTTCTCAGAAGTCATTGTGTTGCCTTAAGCACATTTATAATTCCCTCATTTTATTGCAGATATCCACAAACAAAATCAAATTAGCATAAGTTTACAGAGCTTTGGAAATTGAACTTCATTTACTAACTAACTTACCCACATATCTGTCAACTTGCAGTGTTGGTTATTTATTGCCAGTGAGAAAAAGCAATATTTAAGAACAATAACAGTATTTCGCCTAATGAGTCAACTGGTTTGTTTGTAGATATTACAAGAGTGCCAATGGATCTACCATTTTTAAATGAACTGCCAGGAACATTGGTGGAAAACCAATCAACTGATGAGGAACTTAAAAAAGATGAGGAAAGTAAATCTTCCTGTGAGAACACACAACCTCGAAGGTTAGTATGGTGGCTGCAGCTCAATCGTTTACTTATAATTCGTTCATCTATTCTCCATCCAAGTTTTATTTTAGAACCCTGTGGACCAAATCTGTTGCATTCTTTGCATGTGCCCAGTACTTTATCTGGGACATATGCACATGCAGTGGTTTACTGACAGATTCAATTTTTGAAAATGTGAAATCTTATGCTTGCTTTGTCAGTTTTTGTTTAAATTTGGTACATACATTAAAATACATGTTAAGATATATGTCTATGACATTTTGTTTTGCGATCAGATCTGGCAGCCATCTTGTTTTTTTGGAAAATGTGGTATCTTGGACAGGATTTGATACAAACATTATAAATGTTCATGAGAATTTGTTTCGTGTTCGAATCCAAAATGACCAACTGGCAGCCATCTTGTTTTTTTCAAAATGTATTGTTGACATGTTTTTTTTTCTCTTCAAATTGTACGTGTTAGGATACATGTCCATGACAATTAGCTGCACTATCAGGTTAAAGATGGTTAACTGCCTGCAATCTTGCTTTTTTACCATACTACTAGGTATATCTCTGTACATGAGCCCGGACAAAGGAAATTTTAGTTGTTATTAAAAATACATCAAGGTTTACTCAGATTTATAATGCAGTTTCTTGAGTATGTATGAGACATAGTTTGGTTGCACTTGTGTACTAAGATTTAAGACATGGGACAATGGAAGTTTTCAGTTATCAGTACAATACTACTTTATGATGAGTTGTACCCACATAGAGTACACATTAATTCAATTGTTTGCAGATATTCCATGTATTATTTTAACACGAGTCTTTTATATATTAAATGACGGGGACTGTGGCATGTTAACAATGATTTGCGTTATCACAGAATATATTTATTTTTTTAGCCATCTATATATTCATAGTTTTGTGGATAATACATCAAATATAATTACGTTAGGAATTATTGAGGCAATGCATGTTTTCGCACAATCTAAGAAATATGTACATGTATTAGCAGTGGGCAGACAAGAGTCTGAAATGTTGTCATGTGTTAATGACACATTCAAATTTTAGCAAACAACTGCAGCTATAAATTTAAATTATTGTAATTCCCCATGCTATTTACGGCTGCTAATTTACAACGATATTGCCGCATTTTGAGCTACCATTATCGCTTGCATAGAAATATCAAAATTGAATATACCGCTTATTACATTGAACTGTTATGAATAGATAAATATATAGATAGATATATATATATATTCCAGTACGTATTTAAGTGTTGGTTATTATTTTTTGAATAGAGGAACAGCGTTTTTGCGAAGAGTTCAGAAACTGATTAATTTTATTACCAAAAGCAAGGAACTAGAGGTTAGTGGTTGTGAATGTGAACATCATTTAAATAATTAAAAGTTATTGGAAATTGTATGGCATTGACTTACTTTATGTCTTGTATGCTTGGCGTAATTTGAACTGTTGTCATCAGTGATAATCAACAGGAGCTATAATTGTTATTCCTGATTGTCTGTGTGCTTGGACTCAGTGTGTCCATGAGTGTAGCATAGCTGACAGGTACAGTACAGTCCAAATGTAATCTTAACAGTGAGCTAGCTTTCAGTAATCTGCCTAATTATGTCTGTCATATTAGTATTTTACTAATACTACCAAGAGTAAGTTTAAAATATTAGTGACTGTGTTTCTCACTCTAAACCTTGTAAGTTTTTTTAAACAGTTCAAATTCCGTTGATAGCTAGCTTGAACGTCAATTTATCCTCAGACTGTTCTGTGTAGGCCATATGATACAAGAATCAACTTTTGTCGTGCAATGTTGTTAGTTGGAGATTTGTTGCCAATGTGTTGTAGTATGTTGATAGAACTAGAGACATGCTCTATTCTTGCAACAAGTTGCATGTTGTTGATGTCAACTTGCAACATTGCATGCAACATTTGTTGTGAACAAAAGTTGTAGCTTGTTGATCCGTGTATTGTAGTCTTTATTTAGATCATATCTAATGCAGTGTATGAACTACTGAAAAATACTTTATTTTAGCTGGAATAAATTTTCGGTGAAATGACTCTTTGGCTGTTTTGTACGGAGTTTATTTTCACTGATTGTTTATGAGTTGATTGTAAAATATAGGAAAAAAAGTATATTTGCTTGATTTTATTTCCACTGAATAATTCCTTCAGCGAAAAAAAAAGAAATTGAAAGGATTTTACAGTATGACATGTCTGTGATTAGTATAGGTTTGTCATAATACCGGTACATACCAGAACTAACATCAGTTATGTATTCACAGGAGATGCTGATTGGTGTATATCACGGTACAATACCAAATAGACGTCACCATGTATGGCATAAAGGACCTCCCTCAGAGAGGAAAAAACTCAAGGACAATGTATTTGGGCCTGTCATTGAAGAATATCAGGTATAGACCATTAGTGAATTTATATGTATTTTTATAGTATTTAATGAGTAATGATAAATCATAATATCGCTATGAACAAAAAAGAACCATCTGGAGAGACTGTTTATAATGACTGAAGGACACTGCACAAAATAATGCATTTAAGCTCAAGTTGTTTAATACTGTAGAATAATTTATTTTCGCTTGGAATTTATTTTCGCTATTTTCGCTGAAGGGATGATTCAGTGAAAATAAAATCCAGCGAATATACCTTTTTTCCTATATTTCACATTAAACTCATCAAAAATCAGTGAAAATAAATTCCATACAAAACGTCCAAAAAGCCTTTTCAGCGAAAATAAAGTATTCCACAGTATGTTTCTCTTTTTCAATAATGAGAATATAGAACATGGAGGATTTTGAGTGGCTGTAAAACTCTAAACTCTTTATCATATTTATTTATATATACATATATAATACACTGTACATCACAAAAGACAAATGACCATCAGTAACAAGTCATGAAAGTAGAATCAAGGGGCTGTCTATGAGCTGGGGATTCAGTAAACATGCATGTACATCTAATAGGTGTTTTTTATTTTTCATGTAGCAAGAAGCTTTGATTAATCACTTTCAAAACCTCTATAAGAAGTGCATGGCAGAGGATGACTCTTTTGTTAGCATTGGATATATCTTGGAAGTGTGGATTCCTGAGGTATAGTTACAATGTTTCAGTTAATTGATGCAGTTACGCTCGTGCTGATGTCGTGTGTGATTCACATGAGTCATTTGGTGGATGTTACTGCAAATGGAGATGCTGAATTGTTCGACATCTGTTTACGAACATAGAGGAAAACATGGAAATACAAAAATGACCACGCCTGTATTTCAGAAACCAAGTCCACTTTTGCGAAACCACACCCAAATTGTAATTTGATGTTCAATATAATTTGAAGTTCTGTTAACTGTTAATTCAACATCGAGTTCCAATTTGGGCATGCAAAAGTGGTCGTGGTCTCAAAAATATGGTCGTGATCATTTCTTTAACTCAATGTTTTCATAACTCGATGTTCATAACTCGATGTCCATAACTCGAACAATTAAAAATCCCATGCAAATGACTCTCTAGTTGTTTTGAGACTCCGTTTTCCCTGACCCTAAAAGAACAAAAATGTATAGCCAAAAATAACTTGTGTGAATATTTAAATTTAAATTGATTTATGGTCCTGAGAATGCATCCATTTTTCGGTAATTTACAAATATAAATATTTATAGTACTGATTGTATGCCAAATTTATGATTAGGCTACACTGATTTAATTTTATGGATGACATCCTCTGGAGACCCCAAAACTAATGCGAGAGGGCGAAAAAAAAAAAAAAAATTGCCAAAAAAAAAATCCCGACAAATCCCTGGCCGACGTCAATTGCGTACCAGTCAACAACAATCCCTCCATTTTTTCTCTGAACTTTTATGCTTATGTATTTTGGTGGCGTAGTCGCCATGTTGGAATTCCCGGCAACGCAATACGCATGTGCAGAAGATCATTTACGACAAAATTGGCACGTTTGGAGGTAGTCCAAAACGAGTTTTACGACAAGCCAGCGCTTTGCGACAATATGAGTCGGCAAGTTCCGGACAGGAAACCGATATGTGGAGACTCGTCGTCGGAATTTTTTGTTGTTTTTTTGTTGAGAACAGGCTAAAACTAATGCGCGCGTGGATGTCATCCATAAAATTAAGTCGGTGTGGCCTTACTTGAACATTGGTCAAGATTGAAAATCTAGTTAGATTCAAGCAGTGAAGTAAAAGTGAAAGTCCCCTGAAAATAAACTCAAATAAATCAAAAAGTGACGGTAAATAAACCTCCCTTTTTTGCTATATTTACTTATTCTCTGTTTTAACACTTCAACAGACAGCCATTCAGTACCCTAAATATGCATAGCTACACCTCCATAAATCTTCACACTGCACTTCATGAAGGATTTTAAAAACAGTTGTAATATCAAACTTTTAGTCATTGTCAATAATCAACATTTTTTGCCATTTATAAATGATTGATGCTTTCTTTTTGTAGGCTTTGATATTTGCAATCCAAAAAGTAGATCGTCTCAGCAAACTTGAAGCAATTCAGAAATTTAACAGCGATTCGTCCATTCCAAAGTATCGATACAGCAAAGATGAAGTCCCTGTGTTAATCATGACGCAGGAAGAACGACAAGAAAACATCAAGCGAGCAGCGCATGCTTGTGGATTTCCCGAAGACTTTTTGATGACAAGTAGTGCATAGCTGACATTATTCTTCATAAATTATTTTTACCAAAGTCATTAACAATACAAGTAAAGTTGAGATCCTGTTTTTCTGTTTAGTTGCATCATTGAAACTGCAGTTTAGTATTGACTTTTGATTCCACTGTAGCAATTATGCATTGTCAATGTTTCTTCTTCTTATGCATAGAAGAAAAAAAACAGAGTTGTCAAAGGCAATTGTTGGGAATTCTTCCCAGTCATCGACTATTATTTATTATACATTTGCTGAACTTGTATGTCTGCTTTGCACCATTCTTCTCATCATTTGAAGCAACAATATCAGGAAAGATTCTAACTATGCAACTCTATTGTTACTGAGTAACATTTTCACGGACCATGCTTGACCCATAATCCTTTGCTGGATAATCAAGTTGGTTGACTACATAATAATGATGAAAAGTTGAATATCTAGAGAATGGAGTGAAAAGTGATATATATAAAAAAAAAAAATGTAAATTGCATTCTTCTACATTTGTGGAGCCCCCTCATCTTGGAGCATTATGTTGTTTTCCCGGTGTTCTCCATTAATGTTGATTATTTCATCTATGGTACAATTCAGATTCTAGGTTTACCCTGTATCTCTGCAGTGGACAGTTACAAGGCATCTGTAATTTAGTGACAGGTTCAACCGTGGCCAGCAATTGTTCTGTGTGTTAGTATGGGGATGCATTAAATGATCTGCTTGGTATATGTATGCTCACAATTCAGTAAGGTATTACCTGTCGGTGATGCTGGATCATACATACATGCATTCAGTGTTTTATAATTTCCTCTTAATCCAACTGCATTCTTTCAGTAATTTAGTTTTGTTCCTGGATTTGTCAACACTAACTTGAGAGATTTTCCCCTGTTAGATATCATTCTTATAAAAATGTTTCCAAATTATGAAACTGTTTGTTATTGAGCAAAATGTGGATGCATATACCACAATCTTAATGAGTTAACTGTTCTATTATGTATATATGCTGTCTAAGCTACTGGCATAACCCAGCCTAAAAAAAAAATTGATATTCAATGAATTATATTTCCAGCATCAGTTAAATAATTTAAAATTAATTTAAAATAGATTTCTTTTGTCAAAAATAACTTTACGTTGTCAAGATTATGGAATATATGCAAAGACTTCCAGCTTAGAATATTTCATCTTTACCTTCAATGTTTGCAGTATGTTTTTGTATTTGACCCATTTTTGTAGAATTATTTTTTTTTTTATCACCCAGAATTTACAAGACAGTTGATAGACTATTATTTTTTTTTTGTATGACACTTCAAGAGGCTGATTATGAAAATACCTGTGTGGTGCTTGCCACAACAGGCATGCAAAGTATTAGGAACTGAAACTACAGCCGTGTGGCTTGTACTGATGTCTAGATGTTTGACACTGGCAGCAGTGTGTCGAATGTTGATATGTACAATATCTTTTTATTGGATTATTAGAGGATTTTGTATTAATCAGCATTTTAGATCGCATTTGGGGCAGGGAGAAAATTTGACATACTTTTTTTATAATGTATTTGTGTACCCTATGCAATCTTATTGATATTCTGAATATGTCATTTAAATTCACACAGTTAAGCTTTGCCTGTATTGAATTGCTTAAAATTCCTTTCATTTGTTAATATTAATAATATATCTGACATTCCTTGACCAATCAAATGCAAAATTTACACATGATGCCACATACCTGTATATGCACACTTAATGATCCAATTCAAAATGGTTAAATGGTAATCATTTTTGCCATTCTTCCCCCAGATCTTGGTCAGTCATGGACGTGTATTATTTATGGCCATTAACTAGACCTGGAGTATGTCATTTTGTTTAACAGATTCAAAATGGCTGACTGGTAGACAGTTTTTTTTGATTGATTGCAATCTTTATAACTACAATACACATGTCACACATATTGACATCCCTTTCGAGTTCTGATTCACAATGCTTGACTAGTTTTGTATATGTTACTTCAACAATGGAGACTTCACTCAGTATTTTGAGTGTGACAAATGCAGTCCATGCCAAACCTCATGCGACAAAGAACCTGCGACCTACAGGTAAACTAATGTAATGACACATCAAGATAGTTCTGTATTATAATTGCTTGGACATCTTTGTTAATTTAGTGTCTGATTTAATTGTATTTGCAGAAATAAATTTGTTTGCATGATACTAAAGTGGTCAATACTTTGACATATAAGGGAGGCATATTTCATGCGTTCAGTCACAGTATAGTCTGGCGTCTTTATAGTAAAATATGTACAGACTTTGCATGGACCCTATGCGGTCTACATGTGGATAGCTAAAATCAAGTCTTTTATGGGCTTTCTGCTATTTGGTTATGGACTCCTTGCAACCAGTCGAGTTGTTCTTTGGTCTCAGTTTGAATGGTTTCCATCTGAATAGCCAGTCATACAGGAATTTCAAAAATCAGTTACAGCCTTGAAATTTGGCCTTTTTACCTTGCCCGTACCATCAAAGATGGAAGGGAAAGGTATATTAAGGGAAAGATTTTGTCCGGCGTTGTCGTCGTCGTCGTTGTCGTCGTTAATAATTGTTATTGTGTGCATGATAACTTTACTAATTCTATTCCAAACTTCATCAAACTTGGTCACCTTGTTCATCAGTATAAAGTCTTCCCTGAGTTTAGACAACAGATGTCCTGTATGAAAATATCATGCAAAAATTGAGAAAAACTGATAAAATATTTCGACTGTTTCTACTTGACTGATCACTGGTGATACACATCAAAGGTCACTGATCTCAGTGGAAATATGCATTGTTGTATGTGTTCAATGAAGCAAATGATTTATCTTGTAATAATATCCTTGGTAATGTATCTCAGAATCCCTTACTGGGTTTCAAAACCAACTCATGGAGAGATTGCACAGTCTGATACACATTTGCAAACCTACCAATAAATCTTTACAGAAAACAAGATGTCAGAAAATCAATATAAGCACTGCTATGAACTGGGTGCCAAACTTTGATCAAGATCTGAAGCTAATAGAAAATCTGTTTAGTTCAAAGTTATCAAATCAAAAACAATACATAAAAAATACATAAAAAGCAAAACATTTCATCCACATTTTAAAAAGAAAATTGTTCTAAAATATATGTATTCTGTATTTGACAAACAGTTCATTCGACAAATGAAAACTCACAGGAATATGTTTCAGCTATTAGAACAGAATGATAGAGTTTTTATAATACTAGTTTAAAAACTCACTTCAAACAAAGATTGTTTGAAGATGTAGGTTCTCAGGAGGCAACAGTACTGTTGACTTCTCCCTCCACTGGACACCAACTAACTATTTAAAGCAGAGCTTGCAACATGATAGCTATTCATAAAGGGTGTTTTTTTTTTTTACTTTTCATATAATACAGTAGTCACACAATGAGGCAGTTCATATTTGTCTCAGTGAATCATTAATTTTTGACAGACACCTGTACAAAATACTTGGACAAAAGCCAGCTAAGATTTTCTGTTATCTTGCATGTTTAATGAATCTATTCACGTCTAAATGCAGCACTTTTTTTTTGCAATGAGGCATTTGTTTTTATACTAAAATATCTGAATTACTTTGAATAAAGCTGGAAATTATGTCCCTTAAAATAATTAAACAAATAAGGCACCAATGTTTTTGTAAGATATTTACATCTTTAAAGGACATTCGGTAGACTGATTCCCCACTGTTAGTTCAACCCCAAAACTTTTTTGTATTCAAAATTAATTATGACAATGTATATTTATATTGAAACAAACTATGTTAAAGGGAATTATATTATATAACAAAGGGCAAGGTCACCAGAGTTCAACTATGTTTATAATAATCTAGGAATCCAGTGGAATTCCACCACTTAGTTAAATTCAATAAAAATCTTTCCCTTTTTTCATACTGCAATTTTCTTATTTATAATTTGCCAATAACTGGAAAAGTTCCCTTGACATCACCTTATTGCATGAAATGTAATGTGTGCTTGGATTGGTTTGGCTTAGATCTCCAAAGAATTTATATCAATTCAACCAATCAGAGAATGCCTTACTTAGGGCGTGTGCTGTATATCAAAATCTCACAGATGAGATGCGTGCTTGGATTGGATTGGATCTCCAAAGAAATATCAATTCAACCAATCAGAGAATGCCTTACTTAGGGCGTGTGCTGTATATCAAAATCGCACAGATGAGATGTGTGCTTGGATTGGCTTGGATCTCCAAAGAAATCATGTCAATCTAACCAATCAGAGAATGCCTTACTTAGGGCGTGTGCTGTATATCAAAATCTCTCAGATGAACCTCAAAATAAATTATATGATAGGCATGTCTTGTTGATCACATCATTTCGAAATACTGAAGAAGTTCTCATTACAGCAAAATGAAATTAGACTGAATTTGACAGAAGTTGAAGAAAAAAAACTGAAGGTTTATACACATTCTTGTAAATTTTTAGAGAAGTTAGAATATTTTTGAATCCCTGGCACTGCAGATACAACAGTTCCCGACTATTTACCGGGTTGTTAAGCCATTATAAAGATATTTGTTAAAGCATTTGTTTAGTTGCAGCTTTCACAGCATACAAGCTTCTTAAAGTGAACTTGAAATCTGATGAAAATTGTGTGACCTACTTAAAAGTAGATGTAAGATTTGAAACTGATGCTACCGGTGTATTGAAAAGTCTGAAAGTTAGGTAAAATAAGTGATAGAGTGGTGATGAGCTTCAGGATGAGTAGTCTTCTCTCAAAACACTTGTAAGCAAGCAAAAGAATGAGTCTCAGAATCCCGCATGGAGATATTCAAGTATGTGATGAACTGAAGAGGGAGTTTGAAAAGCGTTGCTCTGTCAAATACAAACGATGCGTTATTTATAAATTTCACCTTCAGGGAAGCAAAGGCCAGACTCTACAGCAGACTAGACAAGTGTAAATGTAATTTTCAGATTGCCCAGTGTCTTATTGAACTTGAGATTGGTATTGGACATGTGAAAGAACTCTACTGTCACTTGAACAAAGAAATCACAGTATCTGACACCTCTCAGTTGTATCAGCAACACTATAATCAAGATCACTCAATGTAAGATCATGTGTATGGGGAAGGATGACATCATTAAGACTTCTTGTTCCAACACAATATTGTACACCAGAATCAAATAGCATTTATAATTCAAAATAGTTGCGGTGGAATTGGGGTGGAAAAAAATTATCAAAATCTGCTGCTATCTGTCGGATATAGGAATTTGAAAGGATTTGTGGGAGGAATTTAACAAAATAGCTATAGAATTATAAAGATTTTTGCGGAGTTTTGATTAAATTATATAAACTATATAATTCTATATAAATTATATATAGAAAGTGATCAATACATCCGACATACAGCACAAAAAATACGTGTGTCACAAGACTTAGATAAAGATTTACATTCAAAATATCTTCAATAGTTTACCCACATAAGGACTACGTATTCCCTGACTCACATACCAGGTACAGGTCAGCGTGATTACAAAAACAACAACAAACAATTTATAAACATATAATATCAAAGAACACTTAAAAAGAACTGAGAGTATTGGAGACACAATAAAATTAATTCAAAATTTAAGATTTGCATTTCAAATGAGAAGCTTAGCAACTAATTTATGTCTGCTATTTGCAATGCACAACATGAAAACATTGTGATTCACATTATCAAAATTTATAATACATACAGAAAATACATTTGCTTATTCATTCATGGTTTTTAATCTAATTAATTATTTAGAGTACCTCTGTGATGAATTCAATTTGAATCTGATTTTTTTAAGATACCAGGAATAGGTTAATAATAGATAAACAATATGCATAATTATCAACATTAAACAAATCATGTCTGTGGACTACCTCAATGAACCAAAGGAATCATTATACAAATTAAGCAATTATTATGCATAGATTTAGGTCTGTATATTGTTTCAGGGCGCACATGTACAAAGTTTAAATTAGTGGAAAGCTGAAAAGTAAATTATTATGCAAATTAGGTAATTATTAGATGTATATAAACTTAAAACTAATTAGATCATTACATTATGTTAGAGTATATATGTAGTTGAAAATTGGCTAATTATGCAAATTAGGTAATCAATATGCACTGATCTATGTACCAGGATTCATTGAAAATGGGATAATTAGTACCTGCGATATCAGTCTAAAAGCTGAAAATTAATCATTTATACAAATTAGTTGATTAATATGCACACATTTTTACCCAAAATTAATCAGGTCTCTGCATTGTTCTAGAAAAACTATGTACCATGTTTTATTGAAATTAATGAAGGGATAGTACTTGAAATATCAAAAGCTGAAAATTGATTAAATATGCAGATTAGGTAATTAATATTTCACATATCTGTCTGTGTATTGTTCTAAGTTTCTATGTAAGTTTTATTGAAATGTGATGATTAGTACCTGAGATATCAGTGGAAAAACCGAAAATTGATTATGCAAATTAGGTTAATTATATGCATGGATTTTTACCCAAAACTAATAACATCTGTGCATTAGTACAAGGCATCTATGTACAAAGTTTCATAACAATCCAATGAATGGCTCTTTAGATATTAGTGGAACAGTCATGCAACAGCTAAAAATTAGTAAATTATCATACCAATTTGGTAATTACTATGCATGGATTGCAACCAAAACCTAATCAAATCTGCGCATTAGCCCAACGCATCTATGGACCAAGTTTCATCAGTGGAACAGTCATGGAACAGCTGAAAATTAGCTAATTATCATGCAAATTAAGTTTATTATATGCATGGATTTTTACCCAAAACTAATCAAATCTGTACATTAGTCCAGAGCATCTATGTACCAAGTTTCATCAGAATCCAATGAAAGGCTCTTTAGATATCAGTAGCACAGTCATGGAACAAATTATCATACCAATTAGGTAATTAATATGCATGGATTTCAACCAAAACCCAATCAAATCTGCGCATTAGCCCAACGCATCTATGCACCAAGTTTCATTAAAAACTAACATACGGTTCTTGAGATATCAGTGGAACGGACGGACACACACACACATACAGAAAGGTAACTGCAAAGACTCCATTGTGTGCTTCGCTAACTGTAGTCAAAAAAAGAGTTATCACTGCTGTTACGTAACAACGATTATCAGAATTTTATTCAGATGTTTATTTAAATAATCTAACTTTCAATTTGATTAGCTAAGTTTTCAAAGAAACTACCGACAGTGATCGCCTACAAATACAATAATCCTGGAGGTAATCGTACGTATGAACAGTCCCATCACGACACACCACTACGTCCGTCTGCACGCACTGAATTTAATATGATTTTAATAGCTAGTCTCGTTTTCGTAACATTCGGTGGAAATATTTCAAAATTTTTATAAAATACTCGTATCACTTTTGCTCTAAAATGTGATTATGCAAATATTCCTGAAACTATATCTACACATATTTATATGAAGTAGTCCGTTGTTTTGATCTGTAGTATTTGTACACAGACGTTCATCGGGAAACAAATCGAAATATCCAATCGTGTTTGTTTGTTTGATTGAAAATATTACGCCCAATTGTTTTAATAAGAACCGTACCTTTACGCTTCCACCGTAGCGCCCCCTAGAGACAAAACACCTTTGTGGATGTACGGGTGAAAGATGGGGGGGGGGGGGGGGGTCACACGCATCCAAATGATTTGTCTGCACAGTCATCTATAAGTTTAATGTTTGCTTTATACTTTAAATGACAATGCACTGCACATCCGATCAATATTTCCCTGTGAATGGCATTGAACGTAGCGGGCGTTATTTCCGAAAAGGTGAATCCCACAGGCTTGTACTCGTCGGCTCGGTGACCGGATATTCTCGTCGCCGCTAAGTGTTGCACATATGGTTGAAAAACCGAAGTCAAAATAAGAAATATAATTATGCAAGAATCATATACACATTAATCTGAGTTATGCAATTATTATTACGGAGATGTTCATTATTAAAGTGGAACAGCTATCACCAAAATAGCTCCTTTCTTGGTTGTTTTTTCTCAATATCCGAACCTTTCATTTATAGAGGTGTACAAAACACCTCTCTTAATTTGACGTATTCAAAGTTGGAATGACAATTGATAACATCCGTTGGCTTGACAACTTTTTTTTGAAATCTCTGAGTGAGTAAGGCTAGCCTGCACTTGACAGATCCAATACCGTGGTGTCTAATCACTTATTTGCATATTTGCATTTTGGCGTTTGCCTTACTTTTCTTCTATTGGTATTATGTTAATTAACTTTTCTTATGCGCTGCATCGTCCGATTCTACTGTTTCCCTGAAGCCGACCATCCATGGCTAGCTCTACGAACCCGTGCGTGGTCGTGTTGGGCAAAGCTATATATTTGACCTCAGTTGATATGTATGATTTGATTGGGCGCCAAGAATCTGGATCCACCAATTAGCGCTAGCGTTCTTGTGACGAAACTCTCTTTAGTTCCAACCACTGTGTTCCAACTTAGTTTTGACGCCTTATATTATGTCATAGCTTAAATGACGTAAACACGCGACGTCACTTTCGATTTCCCATGGAAACGCGTCAACAATTGATTTCGCGTACCATAGCATGCGTCGTTGCGTTTGATCTCGTGAGAGTTATAATAGGAATTCGCCAGGGTATAAATAATGGCGCTGAATAAATTAAAGCGGGGAATCGCCGCCTCTGCGCATGCGTCATATGATCATAGCGTGTCATTGTTTATTAAAAAAAACGACTACCTATGAGCCTTTGCGTTTTTAGCGTGTGTTGTTATCATCGCTTGAATTCAATTCCCGCGCGTGCGCAAGTGACGACCCTCCTACTTTAACCTTAGCTGGCGAAGATGCATGGATTGTAAACAACCTCAAAGCCCCTTATGATTCTTACAAGGGGTAGAGAGAGGTTTTTGTAGATCATACAAAGTGGAATTGCAGCTTTAATTCAAATCTTTTAAATTTTAGATTACTTACAAAGTTACTGCACCACGCCGCGGTCGGAGGAAAGAAGTGGATGTGATATGTGAAGTGTCGCCCTCTTGTGGGCGATATGCGTAATATTTTGTTTATTCCGGTAAACAAGTCGACGTGTTACTGGTGTGTACAAAAAAGCAAGACTGTATTGCTGCGAAAAATACCCATTTACTTCAAAAAGAGGAGCTAACGCAAATATAAGAAAACACAGATTGCACGAGTTATTTGTTTAAACGTTTTGAAACACCCTGTGATGACCATGATATAAGTATATACATATATTTTAAATAACATATAATTCAACAGAAATACATTGTTATTATATTTCAATAAAAATGGTTACATCAAATGTTACATAATGAATAGAAAATTGTGTATTTACCATGCACAATGTTTACAGTTAGCGTTGATGAGTATTTACAAAATGTGATAGATGCTGTTAGTATTACGTCGTAGTTGGCCGTTTTTTTGTATAATAAAAACACGTTTAAATCCGAAACGATTTGTCTACTACAATTTTAGACAAACAAGTTTAAAATCATTCACATACCCGTTGCTGCTACACTAATGCCAACATCCAATAAATAAGAGCGAACCTGCCACGCATATTAACACAAAACTGATAGAAAGGATAGAGCCACGTATCATTAGCGGGTTTCCTCCATCGTCATCTACATTTACATTTATGCAGTTTTCAGAAAAAAAATACATACAAAATAAATTCATTACAAAAACAATTATAATTAATATGAAAATTCGCTTTTTAAAATCCACGAAATGCACAGGTTCCAGCAAAACGGTTAAAAAATAGGAAGTTTGAGCCGTTTATCAGTGCACTTTTAAGTTACTCAAAGACGACCACCTCGTGTGATGGACAGTAAAACCCGACATGCGGCGATTGGCAAACAGTCAGATTATTCAATCTTAAAGAATAGAAATTGTAAATCCTGACAACGAACACTTGCGTGAACACTTTTGTTTCATATATCGCTCTATTGCGCCCTCAATGACGAATTCACTCGGACGAAATGAGTTTGATGAGTCCATCGTTTTGCATAATTTCCATCAAATAATCAACCATCTTTGCACGTGCTCTGAAGGCACCTATCTATATTGCCGTTTCTGTGCTGTATAAATCCACCACATGAGGGGATACCCTAACTGCGCCATTGACACAGCCACAAATTTCGGCTTACCCCTTGAACGCCATACATTTTCCCGCCAAAATGTTTGTGCAACATTATGAATGTTTTGATGAATTTTATATAGTTTCCGTATTAATTTTGGACCAAATTAACACAAATTCCTATTAACTACAGGTACTGATTAAGATTTTTGAAAAAATTGAAGGTTTATTTGTAACAGTTCAACAGTTGTGGGAGTTTGGCTTCATAGGATAAAGGGCGTCGACCTGCCGGCTCAGCTGGCCTTCGCATCATGAACGTGTATATTTACTCACAGACTTGCTTATCAATCACAATAGCATTAGTGACTTTCTTGTGCCGCAAGCCTGTGTTTATTACTGGCACTAATTGCAATGGATGACAAGAAGCCGGTGACTAACAACACTAGTAATGCAATATAGAAAATAAAGAAGGACCTATCCATGATTCTTGCAACTTCACGCCATTCACGTAGTCGCTTCTCGTATACTTCTATGTCTAAGTTATCGACATGACGTTCTACCCTGTAATGGACATTACCACGATTGTTCATTACAGTAGGCTTAGACATCAAACGAGTTTCACAATCGATCGGGGTCTCCGGTCCACTTTTCTCTTGGTCCATACAAATATTGTTTTGCTGCTCTAATGGTATATCCTCTCCTCCACTATAAGTAGCCATAGAGTTCCTGGTTATGGAGTTCCTTCGAGCGCTGCGAGTGCTTCTCAAATAACTACTCGTAAACCTACCCTTCAAGCGTACTTCGGTACACGTGATTCGAGCTAAGAATCGGAATGCGAATTGTTTGAGCCAGCGTGGGGCTTCCTCACATCCTGGTCCTTTGAAGTGCATACTTAACGAAGAGGCAGTGACAACCGCAGACACCACAACAAGTCCAATCGAGACGAAGAAATATCGTTCTGAAAAAAAAAATAAAAAAACGTGAAATTAACATAATCAGTGGAGCAGATACAAATTTATTTGCTTGACTTTGATTTGATATCAATAGTGTTTTGCATGTTTCCAATAAACGATATATTGGTTATAATTGTCTTTTTTTTATATATTTGTTTTGAACTGATACGTCACGGGGTTAGAATCTTAGGATTAAAAAGGCCACCTACGGCAATTATTTGCAAGCTGGGAAAGTCAACAATGCTCGTCGCCATGAGACAGAGTTCGGAAAGCGTGGAAAATAATAAACATATATACAGTTGTATACCGAAAGAAGGCCTGTGATCAAGTTTAAGTTTTAACTACAAGCTGAGATCAAAGAAAGCTTAGAAAGAACTCCTGGGAGTATTGGAGACACATTAAATATAATTTGAAATTACTTAGCTGAAAACTAATTATGCAAATCAGAAAATTAACATGAACAGATTTGAGTGTAAAACTAATGAGGTCTGCGCAATGTAGCAGAAAATCTATGTACCAAGTTTAATTGAAATGTGATTAGAACCCAAAAATTATGAATTATTATGCTAATTAGGGAATTAATTTGAACAGATTTTTACCCTAAACTAATTAGGTTTGTACATTGTCCTAGAGCATCTTTGTACTAAGTTTCATTGAAATGGAATAATTAGTACTTTAGATATCAGTGTGAAATCTTAAAATTGGTTAATTATGCAAATTAGGTAATTAATATGTACAGATTTTAACCCACAATTATCCAGGTCTGTCTATTGTCCTACAGCATCCATGTACAAACATTCATTGATATGTGATGATTAGTACCTGAGATATCAGTGTGAAAGTTGGAAATTGGTTAATTATGCAAATTATGTGATTAATATGCACAAATATTTACTGAAAACTAATCGGGT